ATCATCAACAAAATAGATCCCTTCAGGTGCGGAGCTGTATCTTTCCGCAGATGATCTCCATCTCATTCGGACAGAGAAAACTAACCAAGAAATAAAAGTTTACAACAGATAGTCTCGCGCCAAATATTTGTCGAGGACTTAGCATCAAACCCGTATGCGGCATCAGGCTATTTGTTGAATTGATTACCTGTTGGCGTTGGGGAGACGTGGTTGCACACAACATGTGACTATCAAGCATCTTTATATGCCGCGTGGTACTTGATGCGGCATGTCAATGCATCACGGGCCGTCATCCTGTCACGTCTGACGATTTCAAGGGAGCCCCGACGGGCCCCGAAGGATAGTGGGAAGTAAAAGACTCGACCCGCCTTGCGGCGCGAACGTAGCTTGGCAAACACAGTGCTGGGAAACAAATCCACGCAAAGCAAGTGGTTGACAAAACAAGGGGGGGGGGAAACAAAATTCCAGCTGGGCATCCAAGAACAAACTTTCCAAATTCCATTCCTTCGCTTAGCTCCTTTTCTTCAGGACGTCTTAAGAGGATTGAAGGTGAGTCTTCATCATTGGAGGATTATTTTCCGTGCTCTTTAGTTTCTGTACCTGCCCGAACTGAAATGGATTCCCGTGGGGAGATTCTATCGCCACAGTCATGCGGGGCAGGAAATTGATTCGTAGTGAGAGAGGACAATTTGAGGAAATTCCCAGCTTTTCTGAGATCCCCCTGATCACATCTGTTGGTGGAAGTCCATAGAAGCAATTTCAGGTTGGAGAAATGTCGTAAGCCTCTAGTGTGCTACATAAAAAAATACGACATAATTAAATACAAACCTTTCGCAAGAATAACAAGCTTTAGAATGTGATGTGTGATCAAGACCCCCCCTCCCCATATTGGTGGCATTGAGGAGAGAGGTAAATTACCAGCAAAAGCACACCTCGGGGATCGCATCCGAGTAGCTCGAATAAGCAAAGCACGTCAAAAGTTAATTGCAAAATATTTGCAATTAACCTTTGACGTGCTTTGCTTAGACGTGGATGTTTCACATATATTATGAAAATGACATAGGAAAATTATATTAAATCTGCTTATACCTGAAAAGTGTTGCCTTAACACGCCGTTGCTTAGTACGATGTATTTAAGGAATGAGATCCGGAATGGGACCGTTCGAGAACCGGGCGAGCTCGGCCCGCCCAGTAAGCTGCCGCCCGCTTCGAACACTGTACCCGCCCGGTTACTCAAGCGTGACGCTCGGTTGACTGCTGGAGTGGCCCTCTGGGTCACAACAATAGCTGCTAACAACGGATTAGTGGTTATTGTTCGAGGATTACAGAGCCCAACTCAGGTTGGGTTGGTGTGGAAGACACTGGCTATCATTAAATTTTTTGGTGGAATTTTATTCTTTTCTAGCTTCATAAAATGCAAGTGTTTTGTTTTTGCATGAAATCATTTGACAAATAAACTTGATACAACTGCCTAGTTTGCAAAGTTCTATAAATGAACAATGGTTAAAAAGCTAGATGATCAAGGTGTGAATTTTTTTCTTTGCATTTGTCGAAATACGATGTTCGATATCTATATTCTCGGATTTGATCAAATTTACGAAATACCTCATTCTGTATTATTTGAAATAAAGTATTCCCCATATGACGAACATGAATTGTTTTGCGTGTGGTAATAATTTGATGTTTTTGAATTTTAGACTACGACACCGCACTTGCCCCTTATTCACGTTAATTTATACGCATTTCAAACAGAAAAGTCTGATACCCGTTTGAGAATAGAAGCGGATGGGTTTGGCCCCCGATCGGTATGAAGTGGCCCACTCGGTAGCCCCGATCGGTATGAATACCGGGCACTCTTTTATTCAAGGATTACGCTAGAGAAGCGGGTGGGAATGACCAACTCTGTAGCTCCCGATCGGTATGAACGCTCGGTTATTCAAGCGTGAGCTTGGTTGACTGGAGTGGCTCTCTTGGTCGCTATCAACGGATTAGTGGTTATTGTTCGAGGATTACAGCGCCTGGCCAACTTGCAGTTGGTTCGCCCTGGCTATGATTATCTGCAGAATTGTCTTTGCTATAGAGTATAGAACGGCAGTATTTTCTTTGCATGAACACGTGTAAATGTAGGCCTATATGGGGGTTACTGATTGCTTGACGTAAAACGCATTATTTTTTCCCCTTTGTTTTAAGGTTTAAGTTTTTCTGTTGACGCAAAAATTTCATTCACTTTAAATCCTGAAACCAGAATTTTATGTGTACATTTTTTGTTCACCCTGAGACTCATTTCAATTAATAGTTGGACTATTTTTTCTAACTATTCTAATTTCTATCTAGAAAATATGCAAGATAAGACATTGCAAAATTGTACGTGAACACGTACATTCTAATATAGTCAAACCATTGAGCTGTGAAAGCAACTTGTGAATGACTACTGCACGGACCACGTTCCCGCCCGTCATCAGTGTACGGGACCCGGTGTCATACGAAAATCGGACTCATATGGAAATCGGACTCTTTTCCCCCTTTTATTGGTTAAACCCTCTCACGTGACCGGTCCATCTCCTAATTATCTATGCAAGAGCATGCGCAATACCTCCAATGAGGCCGTACTTCATACAACCTAAATTCATGCTACACCGGCATCAAGCGAGCGCAGAGCAAACCTTCTTTGTCATTCATTGAACGATCTCCCTCATGTCTTAATATCGAATACATACAGCCCAACGGGGTACATGTATATGTAACCGAATGAACAGCCCATTTGTACTGCTTTGTTTCAACGCCGGGACTGGGTGTCAGACAGAAAGTGTGATACACGCTGTAAACATATTAGTCTGATACCCTTTCACTATACTTTGTGATAAACGGAACTCTAATGTCGCAGCGAGCACATTAACTTTAATGCACGTAAATAGAACAAACTGGGGAATTCTGATCTTAATACTGAACAAAATACCAACCCTGTTTGCTTTAAAAGTCAGATTCAGGGATTCATCGGTGCATGTCCGTATACATTTGTATACATTTAAGGGGAGAAAAACGTACCACGTGACTAATTGAAACCCATGTTCACTGATCACTCAAGCTTTTCAATAGGCCTGCGCGAGGGCAATGGGTCACCAACAATAGCAGTCCATGGCAGGGATTATCGGCGGCGCGCCCTTTGATTTGCCGGGTCTTTGTTACCCGGCAGTGAGGATTATCGCCTTGCAAATTGCTTTTTTTGTTAGGTTCAGGAGAGGGCCCACCAGTCAGGCTTGTACTTCGTTCTCTTAATCCGAGCTTGCCCACTTTGGAGAGGAGTCCCAATCCCTTTCTCGGAGTGGGCGAGGCTTAGCCCAGACCGTCTGGGAACCGGGCGGTAAGGGATCTCATACCTAATGGTTAATAATTAGCATCAGAATAAGGATTTATAAAGTAGACATTGTTTAACATCGCGGTTTTGCTATTCCGGTTAAAGTGCCTATTAATGTGCTCCGAGTCTCAATCAAAGTACTGACCTGCAACTCAACACATCAGACTTTGGATTGTGCATTAAGTCCCTTCTACCCACATGTATTTGAAACCTGCGTTGACGGCAGGCTGACACTGCAATGCATCAACCCAGAAATCGGAAAAAAAAGAAAAAGATCCCCTCTCCTCCTGGCCCGAAAATCACTGACATACCCGATGTAAGAGCAAATGAGTTATATTAACGTTATTTGGAAGTAACTTGCCAGCGTTTGGCCGGGAGCAGGCAGCTGCTGAATAAACTACGGCGGCGGAGTAGCAGCTGCTCCCACTCCGTCGAAATAACACAATTTCTTTTTCATCTTGAAAGTTTTTTCCCCCTTAAACAGCAGTACAACGGGAAAGATTTCGCTAGGACGATATTCCCCAAGCACAAATTGGGCGATGGCAAGGCAGCGCACGAGACGAGGTTTCTTCTTTTGAGTTTTTGGTTGCCGGGCGAATTTTTTTCCTGTCTGTCTCTACACAGCTTTTCCATTAAAATGAGGCCGTCGCTGCTGGTGACGCAGGCTTTGCAATTGCGAGGGATAAGATGTTTTCTCCAGGAAGGCTTGTTTTGTTCGGTGTTTTGTTGCAGACTTCCCCGGCTTGCGCAGGGGATCATGAGCCAGAGGTAGCGACAATGAAAACATACTGTCCTGGCTGCCTGGCGTACTATACACTGCTCACTCCAGTACGTGACCGTTAAAATCAACATGTTTATGTCTTGTTATCAGGATCAGTGGCGTTGTACAATAGTTACATACGTATGCCTCCTTTTGTCGGCCTAAAGTCCGCATGAAAATACCGGATAATGTTTCAGACTACGGTCGAAGGTAATAACGAATTTGTTCTAAATTGTGTGTAATTATTTATATTTCCCCGGATGTACAACATGGAATATTTAACAATAATTGTTGACTGCTGTGATGTGGGATATGACGTTTTTCACACCCGAGGTGCGCCCGCCGAGGGTGCTATGCGCCCCTCGAGAGGGTTAAAAACAACATATCGAACATCACAGCAATCCAAAGAGATTCAGGCTTGTAACTTACTATGCAAGAAATAAACTAAATTTCTGCTCTGAAAACTTTTGAAAACTGCCATTTTCCTTCCAGTCTGAGCGGTTGCAGCTCTCAGTTGTAAGGCGCACGGGCCGGTCATGCACGCGTGCGAAACGCAGCAGTAACTTGTGCGCAACGCGGTATGTAATGAGGTAATTATGTAAAGCATTTTGTATGAATTAAACAGTGAACAGTCATTTGTATAGACTGACACATGGCCATTCTAGACCAATGGAATTGCAGTATCCAAGACACGATATAACGATTAACAATTGCTTGTGGGATACGGCGTTTTTAACACCCGATGGGCGCATTGTACCCGGGGCAAAGCCGGCGGTGATATGCACCCCTCGGGAGTTAAACCCTCTCATATCCCACATCACAGCGGTCAATAGTGGCTGTGTTATATCGTGCCAACAATTCAGAAAGATAAAGGCTGTAACTCACCATGCCAGAAATCAATTAAAGCACTGCAGTGTTATATCTTTGATAACTGCGAGCTTTCCTGCCGGACATGAGACTGTACGGTTGCTAGACTTGGCCCAAGTCCGGGTTTCGATTGGTCGGTGCAGTAGAACGATGCATATAATATACACACTACATGCATGGCACGGTTATATACTACGGATCTTTGTATAACGCGCGCCCTCAAGCGTCAGTTCCAGACCAACATGTTAAAAATATACATAAACGTGTTATTTTCATGTGAGTATCGGAAACACAGACTTGGCCAATCTACCAGACATGTGTACACGGTCTATGGAGCTAATCTACCCTTATACGTAGCGGCCAATGACAGCATAGTATTAGAGTTAATGGGCGTTTTTATTCCAAAAACGCGTGCAGATTGTTCTGAACCACATGCATATTCATTCCCAACACCCAATCAGTTGTTTGCATATACGCACAGCCAAAGTTTCGTGGAGAACGCACAGCAGCCCACGGTGAGCAGTATCAACAGATACACGCACGCGTAAGTTCGAATGTTTTCAAACAGCTGTGTCATAGATATTTTTAATCTATATCTTTGCAGCTGTGTGTACACGCAACACGTGGCGCGATTTCAATGGATCAAAATCCTTTACAGGTTGACCACAATCATATCTATAAAAAACCTTTTTGTTGGCACATTATTTATTTGAAGTCACAATTTCGATGAGACCAAAACTTACTTCAATTGGTTCTTAAAAGGTTTGTTTTAATTAGCAAAATGTTCAGTTAGATTTTCAAAACATTTTCCGATTGTGTTTTACGTTTGCATATACCTATATATGAACAAGTCTTCTAAGATTCGTTACATTGATTAGCCAAGCTGTTGCACCAGATAATGCATATTGATAATTTTGAATATGCATTAATGAATAAATGCATATTAGCTGGGGGTGCTCGTGGTAAATTGATCAATTCGGACTTGCTATTTTTTCGAAATCACATGTATGCACATTTTATGTACTTCTACTCTACATACATGTGTATTGTACGCGTACTGTACACCAAGTGCATGCGCGCATTGTTGTATAGCACTGAAGTGACGCTGGACTGCCACCCCCCCCCCCCCCCCTAAAATATTGGGACTGGCAACCTTGTCCCCAGGGTGTCGAGCAGTACGCGCCCACCACTACCTGCTCTCTCTCACCCTGGTATTGGATCATTTGCATGTGCAAGATTTTTGAACACGTATGCAAATGAGGAATAGTCTGGTGCCTGCATATGCGTTACATTAGCGTTTGTTTTTGTATGCGGTGTCTGGGGTAAAAACACTATCGATTCGTCGCGCCGTGAGTTATGAAAACACGATTTTTTGTGAAGTTAAAATGTTACAATCTGGCCCGCCAATATGCAGTATCACCTTTCATATTAATACAGGGTGATTCAAAAAAAGCGGAACCCAAACCCCAAACAATATATTTCATATTTAAAAAAATATGTAGCACCAAAAATAATAATGACAGGAAAGCCAATTTCAAAAGCTATACTTTTAGATGAAGAAATTACTGAAATTGCTTACTCCGTTCAAAGAATATCACCATTTAAACGCAACGACCCTAAAACCTGTCTCGTCCAAAAAAAGCAATTTATTGTGTGTTTTGACTGTTTGGAACAACAAAGAAAATGACACAGAATACTTGTTTCAACAACTGTCACAAACTGTAGTACACAATATTTTGATTAACAACCCTGGTTAGGCAAACAATACGATGTATAAAATCTACTATTTGAAAAGACGTGCCTTCAAAAGGACTTTGTTGCGTATTCTTAACGTTTAAACTAAGATTTCATCGCTGATGATGTTTGAAGACAATTGCGACGACGATTGTTGAAATCGCATTTTTTGGACGAGACAGGTTTTGGGTTCATTGGGTTTAAATGGTGATATTCTTTGAACGGATTGACCAATTTCAGTAATTTTTCCATCTAAAAGTAGCTATGAAATTGGCTTTCCAGTCATTATCATTTTTGGTTCTACATATTTTTTTAAATATGAAATATATTGTTTGGGGTTTGGGTTCCGCTCACCCTGTATGAGGAAACTGGAAAGGAAAGGAATATTTTTGAGAAGGCGTGGACGTTATAATTAGTGATTGTGAAAACACGTAATGTACGTTGGAAATAACAAACTGCGATATTGAATCAGGATACAGGAAGAAAATTTCCTATCCAGGGCTTACTATTGGAAACGAGGTTGGAAATAAAGTAAGCACTGGGGGCGAGGTTGGGGGACTGGTAGAAGCTCCCATTTAAAACCATTGATTGGATCACCTCTACACGCACGCATCATGATTATTTAACTTCAAATCGCTGTTGAGCTCCGTGCATGGACAGTGATTGAAATCACGATTATCAAACAAAATCACTCTTGTCGTACCACACAAAAGTACGGATATCAATAGTGTTTCCATGAAGGTAACTTTCAAGCATTTCAACTGCATAGGTTCTAATACTGAACAGTAATTTCCCTCTCTTTATTGATATTTGCCGGAGACACTTTAGAATTCAGCAAAAGTCTAAGCTCATCACCTCCAAAATTGTACATCCGTGGCGCGGCCTATTGCCATTTTGCAATAGGCTGGTTGCGGGCAACCATTACCGTTGCGATTTTCAATTCAGAAGGCGGGATTCAGACCTACACACGTCATACATTGTACATATAGTTAGCATACATTACACGGAGTTTCTTGCAATATATGGAAGATTCACCGCTAGCTACCGGGCCCCACTTTTAAAGTCCAAAGGACAATGTAGTCAGGGAACCAGACTAAAGTTAATCTGGCGCTTGTTGAGCTTCAGGAAAGATGTCGGTGATGGCATTCAGGGCTGGTTGTGGTGGTAGCGGGTGTATGTTTATTGCTTACTGCTTACTGGTCCCGTAACCCGCCGGGGTCGTAGGGGCGCTGCATGGATGAGCGTTATGAATCAACTGGTTCCACCTCTGACGGTTGTGAGCTAGGGCCTGTGTTGTGGCAAAGCTTTCTCCGGTCCATTCGGCGATGTTGTCTGTCCACTTTTTCCTCTGTCTGCCCTATCTCCTCTTTACCTGCATGTTCCTCGGAGGATGGTCTTTGACATTCCGCTTGCTCTCGTTAAATGTCGCGAAGCCCGGGGGCCTGCCCGTCACGCGCGCGCAACGCAGAAATTATTTATACCCAACGCAGTGTATATGAGGTAACTTATACGCAACGCAGTGCATATGAAGTAAACGAATGAATGAATGTTGGCCGAAGAGAAACATTTGGTAACCTTTCCCGTTTTTGTCGGAGACAAGAACGTATCCAAAGGGACATTTTTTTCTGACTCACCCTGCACAGAACAAAAATAAACCGGATTGATATTCGTAATCAACAGTTATCACGCTAGAGATTTTGGAAAACCACAGGACTTATTTAGGCCTACGCTTCAGCGAATCCCTCCAGCGCCGTTTAATAATGAAACTTGTGTAAGAGCTTCATTCATATTTCGGAATGCAGACTCACTGTGCATGTACCTACGATGCTCAATTTAATTCGTTCCTATTCCCAGAGCATATAGCAAACCCGCTCGTATTTATATCTTTAAGTCAGCATGCATTTAATTTCGGAAATAACACACATCATTCAATTATTCATGAGTTTGAATGACTTTCTGCATGAAGTGAAGATCACACAGGCCCATGGCCTGTAGGGTATGGGGCTAAATAAACTCGCCAGATGGTGCGAAAGATGAATACACCATGGATTTATTCATAGAGTTGATATGGAGAACACCACCCTCCCCCCACTCCCGACAAGAAATCATACACGAAAAGGACGTGTTGAAATGCAGCATGCGTTTCTGCTTCAATATCAGTAGGGGGCTACAGGAATACAATTATTTCAACAGCCAATTTGGTGCATACGATGAAATGCATTTTGGTGCTTGTAGGCGACGAGATACAAGTAGAAAGGAAGTCTTGTATGGAATCGACAGGACGCATCAATTCATTGATTAGGCTGTCTGTATAATCAGACAATATCAGACACTGTAACTGCCACTGAGATTAAAAAAAAGTGCATACCATAGTAGTGACCATAACACAGGTGGAGAATTATACTCAATCATCGTTTTGCCTGTTTATGTCGGTATTTTTGTTCACTGGGTCAATGTAACACCCACTGTTTTTTTCCTTGGTAATTCTGATAATGACGATCAATCGTTATTGCCAATCGGCTTTTTCCTATGGAAAAGATTTGTTTCGTTATTTTCACTCATGAGTCTTCTCCTTCCAATGAACCAATGGGCAGTCGCTGAATGACGAATCGCAAAACGTAATCCAGGAATAATCGACTTTTGTAACAGTTCGAGTACATCTTCAGGTCAAATATTTTTTTAAATACAGATTGTGGTGTATTAGTCGGACCATTTTAAGGAATTGCGCTTTCCAAACAGATGTACCCCGTTGAGCTGAGCCGTTCCAGAAAACATATTTTATGACAAGCAGTTGACTGTGACACGGCTTTACCCAAAGTACAGCGAGAATATTATTTATCTACATTAACTGTACATTTATGAATCTAGAAGTATGCTCTCGTCTCATACCAGTTTCTGTTTTTCTAGGTTGTGTCTTTCTGTGTCTGACTGTTGTCCATTTTGTACTTTGTCACTGTCTCTGTTTTTCTCGATCATGTCCTCTTGTCTGTCGATAGGTTAGGGTACAAAAGCATGACGCTTCACCTTATACCTAAATGTTGTCGTAAATTTGTTTAAGTATTGATCCATGTACATTATGATACAACATTACATAATTCATTGCATTTTGCTCTGTATAATAAGTTTACACGACATTGTAACATTTTATAGTGTGGAACTATTTGATGGCAACATTGAACAATAAGTGTTTCTACTACTACATATTTACAATAAGATATAACCCACTGATATGCGATAGGGACGTGCAATCTCATGCGTTTAGCTCATTCATTTGTCAATTTTTAAAATTTAGAACACAGAAGTTATCGCATTTTAACTTTAAACTCTAATTTCCACACAATACACGCGCACAGCGCATGCGCTGCACGTTCAAAAACGCTTGCCATTTGGAAATTTACTCATTAGTTTGAC